CAATTACCCGTTTAGTAACGCATTCAGCGGTATGCGACAGAAGAAGGATTTCTATTTTCTACCTCTGCCCTCGGTAATCCGCCATCTTTTATTTGTGTGCTAAAGTTTGGGGGCCTTCAGTGTCATCCGAGAATCGCAATTCGACTGCAAGTTTCGAGGGTCTTGAGTATGTGATCTGTAAGGTCACCAACTATAAAACTGTAAATTGTTAAACTTAGAAGTTTGATACAATGTTCCATTCTTTGTAGAGCAAGTGTTGTCTGCCAAACCATTGCTTAACCAAGAACAGGAAAGATCTTAACCACTTACCATAAGACTGAATCGAGGTAGCTTCGATCGATGAAACTTGAAACTCGCTTGGATGAACTATGCTGGCAGTTTTCGTTGGTGCAACGTGAACAGTTGAAGATTCGCCAATTGCCATAGAACTTGTAATTTGGTTACAATAACGTCCGCTGCAGACAAGTTCACATTCTTTACCTGTGTTGCATATTTGGTTACAATAATTTCCGCTGCAGACCATTTTACATTTTTTACCAGAGCTGCAACGCTGGTTGCAAACTTGTCCGCTACATTTCATATCACAAATTTCGGAGTTGCAGTATTGCGTACAGTTAAGTCCGTCACATTCCAGAGTGCAAACATAATTGCCAGGGTTGCAATTCAGAGTACAGCCATCGCCACTGCATGACTTCATGCATTTATTCCATCCGTTATGTGGGCAATAGTACTGATTGATTTTTCCAGCAGCTGAGGACACCATGGAAACCTTAACAAAGCATATTGCTAAGAAATAAAACATAAACAAGTTTTTTGTGTAATATTTTTACTGCCATTGCGAAGTGCGATATACCTTGACATAAAGATATTCAAAAGCTAATCTCGGAAACAGCTGTTTCGGTTGAGTTTTCTTATATTTCCCTCTTGCATTAGTGTCACTATTTTCAACATGTACTCTTAATCTTTCGAAAGAAGATAATGTACAATGAACCAAATTCATTTTTGTTCACTTTTTGCCTTTGGGATAGGACAAGGGGAAGAGAGCTGAATTTCAATATAATTATTGTATGGAAATACTAAAACGTACCTCGGCAGCAACACGTCAGGAGCGACTTGGCAAATACAAGAATGAACAAAAAGAAGTTGATAATTGCCCATAGATCCTATCCATAGCACAGTGGTGGTCAATTTAAGGAAATTAATTTTTTTCCGAAATAATTCTCCGCGGCTTCAATCAACTTAATCCGGCTTTTACAGTCACTGCATAACGTAATTGTGTTATTCACAATTACGTTATGCACTAGTCATTATAGAGCTTTGTCCACTATCACAATTACGTAATTCATTAGTCATTATAGAGCTTTGTCCATTATCACCCATGTCCATGAATATAATTACTGCCGGTGAGTACTTGATGGCCCGGTTTCCTGAGAAATAATAGTTTCGGCTTTTATTCTGTTTACTTTTTAGCGACGGTCAGGCTTTTAAGGTACAGCAAATTTTCTCCATTTGGAAGTGGCTGATATGTAAATTATTGACAACAGGT